TTTCACCATTACTCAGCGTGTGGGTGACTGCTGGCTGCTCTGCTCATTAGGGAGGCTTGCTTTTCAAATAGCCTTTGGAAAACTGACAAGTGATGACATATGCTTATATTTATCTTTAGATCCACAATTTAGTGATTGTTATTTGTAAAAACCCCTTTTCATGGTCATCTATTCAGCAAATATTTATTGTGTATTCACTGCAAGTCATGCAGTACGTTACAATTACCTTACAAACAACATAGCTAACTAAATCAATATTTATGTTAGAATTAAAGGTATCAAGCCTTAGAAAAAGCTAATTTAGTTATCATAAGAGAAGCTGTGACCAATATGTTTGACATCTATACATACAGATAAAATATTATTGCTCGCACAAGGGTGATGTGATAAGTGGTCAAATTCCCATTATCAAAATTCTTATCCAGTAGTTTCCTAGGTTGCTTAAAATGTTCCCCTTTAGTCTTATTTTATTTTTAGTTTTTGGTAATTTTTGGCAAGGTTTTTTAACCAGCAGTTTATGGAAATCTATGTTCCACAATCCTAGAGAATTCATCACTAGATCTGCAATATGAGAAATATTAAAGGGAATTTTTCAAAGTGGAAGATTTTTAAAAAATTAATAGTTGAGGGTGCAGAAATATAGGAAGGAATGAAGAGGAGCACAAAATTTTATATATACTACCTATACATATACACTCTGAATTAACATCTACTTTTAAAAAATAACAATTATAATAATAGCTAGTCAAGTGAAAACGTGTAGAAGTAAAGCATGGAAATAATTGTGAAAAGGGCAGTAGTATGATAAACGGATTCAATGAGTGAAGATTCCGGATCGCTTCTCCAAGCTACACTATAAGTGGGTCTTTTGTTTAAGCGACAGTATTAAGTCAAAGATAAACGCTGAATCTGTAGGGCAACCACCAATCAAATTAAAATAATTATGTATATTTATGTACACATTATGGAAATAAATGAATAAATGTTTATTCATACACATAACTAAAAGGGTGAAAAGTGGAATTCTAAAAAAAAAAAAACAAAACAAAAACCAAAAGAGAGGAAGCAAATCTCAAGTGTCCTGTCATTACCAAACAATAATTATATGATTATTAGAGAGATTTGACGTATTGAAAAGGGTAACAGAGGAGAAAATGGACTGATTTAAACTTATCTCGAAAACAGGCGCGGTCACAGCGGAGCGCTGACATCAGCCTCCCGCGGCCCAGGCGGCTGCGCCCCCGCGAATCCCCGGCCGGAGCAGCTGCCGGGCGCCGTGCGGGTGGCGGAGCGGCCGCCCCGCGGTGGAGGAGCGTGTCCAGCGCAGCCCGGATTCGGAGCAGGGCCGCAGCCTGGCGGTCCTTGCCCGCGGCGACGGTGACATCTGCGTGGACTCACCCTTTAACACCCGCGACGTCCCGGGGACGGGCCCGGGTCGGCGGTGGCCGCAGGGCTGTGAGGACGGCGACGAGGTCCCGCAGGTGGGCGAGTCGCAGGGCCGCCAGGGGGCGGTGTGTCGGTCCGTCTGTCCTGCGCCGGGCCGCCCCCAGCCGGTTCCCTGTTCCCTTCCCAGCCCGGCACCCTCCGGACCCCTGGTCCCGGAGCCAAGCGCCCTTTTCCTTCTCCCGTCCCCATCCGGTCCCCCGACGGGGCGCGTGGAATTGCCTGGGTTGTATTTTCTTATTCAAGAAAGGCAAGTGCAACTTTTTAACCTTTACTATGTTTATATAAAAATTAATAAATTTTTAAATTATGTTTAAGGTAGGGAGAGTAATATAATGAAATGAACCTGATGAACCCACCATTTTCCTTCAGGCATCAACAACATTTTACCAATCTTGTTTCATCTCTCTCCTCAAATGTATTGTTTGTTTTATTTTTCCCAGAATATTTTAAAGCAAAACCAAGACATTATGCCATTCTTCCCCCACATTTTCTTGTAGTATTCTCTAACTGATAATTACCTAAGCTAGGCAGGACTATAGATGCTATTTTTAATTTATGTAAAATTTTTATTAAAATAGTGAGTCATATGCTCAGAAGTTATGCAACTGAATGTAAAATGTGTCATATATTTATATATCATAATTTTTATAATTTTGGCTACACATTTTTATCAAATGTATTATTTATATTTTGAACTCATTCTGTAATCCTATTTCTACCTACGTTTCCAAATCTTACAAATGGGCACATTTTCTCTTTTATTGAGCTCTAATCTCTTTTTCCGGTCAAGAGCATTAGTGTATTGGTTTAAGCTTCAAGATTTCAAGTCATATCGCCTCAAGTAAATCCTTCCTCTGCAGCCGTTTGAAATTTGTCAAGTAATAGCTCTTTCCAGAACAAAACCAGACACAAAAGAAAACACATTCTATGATTCTATTTATTTGAAGTCCAATAACAGGTAAAAGTCATTAGATGTTCTGGGGATTAAGAGAGTGATGGTTTTTATGTCAACTTGATTAGGCTGTAGTCTCAGCTGATCATTCAAACGCTGTGTTGCTATGAAGGTATTCTGTAGATGTGATTGACATCTACAGTTAACTTGAAATAAATAAGATTATCCTCTATAATCTGGTTGGGCCATTCCAATCAGTTGAAAGGCTTTAAAAAGAATTGAAGTTTCCCTGAGGAAGAAGAAATCTCATCTCTGGATTGTCAGCTCCTACCCCAGAGTTCCAGCCTGACCTCCTGACGCCTGCCCTGTGGATTTCAGACTTGCCCAGGAACCCTCACAACTCCTTGCTGTATATGTATGTTGCTAGTTCTGTGTCCCAAGAGGAGCTTGACTGATACAGGTGAGGAAGTGAAGAGGCCCAAGGGAAATTTCTTGAGTGACAGAAGGGTTCTATAATTTCTTCCAGAAGTGGCTACAAAGATTATAGAACAGGCTGGGTGCTGTTACAGGCTCATACCCGTAATCCCGGCACTTTAAGACGCCAAGGCAGGAGGATCGCTTGAGCCCATTAATTGGAGACCAGCCTAGGTAACATGGTGAAACTCTGTTCTACAAAAAATACAAAAATTAGCCAGGCATGGCGGCAGGCACCTGTAGACCCACCTACTTGGGAGGTGGGGTGATCATTTGAGCCCAGTAGTTTGAGGCTGCAATGAACCGTGAACCATGATTGCACCACTGCAATCCAGCTGGGACAACAGAGCAAGACCCTACCTCAAAAAAAAAGGAACGGTTGTAAAACAATTTCAGGATTTAGTTTCATCATCTGTATTAGAACAAGAAACCTCCCTACCACTAATCATACTCAAAAATTAATTTGATATGAACCATAGGCCCAAATATGAAAGTTACATATAAAGTTTTGAGGAGGAGAATTTGGAGAATATCTTTGTTTACAATAAAGAAAACTGGACACATGATTCAAATAGACCTTCCACAAAGGGAAGTATACAGGTGGCCATTCCACAGGGACACAGTACTCAACATAATTAATCACGAGGGAAACAAATGGAAACCACAACAAAGTGCCAACACGCAATACTGAACAGGGCTAAAATTAAAAATACGAACACTACCAAGTGTCAGTGGGGATGCAAAGCAAGACCGCTCATGTTGCTAGTGAGAGGATAAAATGGTATAATCACTTTGGCAGTTTCTTATAAAAGTAAACACGTTCTTGACCTATAGTTCAGCAATTCCAGCTCTCAGTATTTACCCAGGAGAAATAAAACACATGTCTGCAAAGAGACCTTTACCGGAATGTTCATCACCATTTTATTCACAGCGGCTCCAAACTGGTAACAGCACACACATCCATCAACACGAACATGCAGTATATTTGTCCAATAGAATACTCCTCAGCAATGAAAGACAAACCATGGAGAAAGCAACAGAATTGATGAATCTGAAAAATATCTTGTTCTGCAGAAGAAGTCAGACACTAAAGCTGAAGTGTGATTTCCCCTCCCACCATTGGATTGTCTTTGTCTTTGTCAGGAAATGGTTCATGGATAAGTGTGGATCTACTGCAGGATTCTGTTCTGTTGCTTTGATCTCTGTGTCTGTTCTTATGTCAGTACCACGCTGTCTTGATTCTGTAGTTTTCTAGTAAGTCTTGAAAGTAATGTGATCCTCTAACCATGTTCATCTAAAGGTTATTTTGACGGTTCTGTTTCTTTCAGTGATACATTTTTAATTACTCTAAGTGTTGTCACGTTTTACTTAGATTCTAAACTTAGTCGCTGAAGTTGTAATTCATATTTATAATAAATAACTTATATACCTTTAGTTTCTAGCGTGGTAGTAGGCATAAATTAAATGTTGATTTCCATATCTTTTTTTTCTACTCTGCCCTTCCACAAAATCTTAGACTTGCATAGGAAAAAAACAGCCTTTCCTTTTGTGGGTTACATTGAGTTATAATTTAACTTCGAGAAAAGAAGGGAACTAAAATGAGCAGTAGAGAGAATTTCACTATAAATGTTAAGTTTCCCAGTAGTCATTTTAAAAATCTTTATGACTATAGGATTCCATAATTCATATCAACAATTTCTTATTTGGCCAACTTTGTAACCAAATTTTCAACAGGTGTTCACGTACCTTTGCCTTCTCAAACAAGCTAGCTAACTCCAAATGCCATGGGGAATTAAAGTCCTAGACCTGGCTGAGCACCCAGGCCACCTGGAGATTGTTTTACCATCTGTCAGGCTTCACTTCGGACCTCTGTATCCTCTGTATCTGTTTTTTTTTTTTTTTTTTTTTTGGAAACAGAGTTTTGCTCTTGTAGCCCAGGCTGGAGTGCAGTGGCACGATCTTGGCTCACTGCAACCTCCGCCTCCCGGATTCAAGCGATTCTTCTGCCTCAGCCTCCCGAGTAGCTGGGATTACAGGCACCGCCACCCCCCCTGGCTAATTTTTTGTATTTTAGTAGAGACGGGGTTTTGCCATATTGGGCAGGTTGGTCTCAAACTCCTGACCTCAGGTGATCTGCCCGCCTCGGCCTCCCAAAGTTCTGGGATTACAGGCATGAGCCACCATGCCCGGCCCTATATCTCTATTTTTTAAGAACCTTAGTAATCCAGGTACATTCAGACTTTGAGGAACCAGAGCCTGGAATTGCCTGGCCTTAAAGACTCAGCTCATGGGACATTGAGGAGAAGCTGGCAGTGCCCAGCAGAGCCGACCAACGAGTCCCATAAAGGAAAGAAAGGCTTTGAAGATCCTTACTCCTGAATGGTGTCCCACCCATCCTTAAGTCAGCTTTGAAACTAGGGATGCAATATGCCGAATCAACCTTACTCGAGAGCGGCTTTCTGAAGCTGGCATAAGTATCAGACAAAGGGCTGCTTTCCTGCCCTGCCACTGTCCCCTGGCTCCCCGAGAGCTCCTCAGTCACTCTTTCCATCTGCAGAGGCCCCAGGAGGCAATCAGCACAACAGCCTTGCCCCGTCCTTCAATCCTCCTTGGATTTGCTCCTGTTATTCCTTCTCCCTGAAATCTCTACCTCCCCACTCCATCACCGCCTGTCAGATTATTTCCATGAATACCTGATTTAAATGGCATTTCCTCCCTAAGCCATTGTGACCGTCTAGGTCTGGATTTTCCAGTCATGTTCGGACTCCGTGCATTCGGTTCCACTGTCATGCTTTGAGGAAAGCTCATGTGTGCTGAAGTTTTGGTTTTCACTCTGTTTGCTGCTCTCAGCGTCTTCACTTGGAGTTCATAGTTCCCTCCTCCATGCCCTCTGGCACTTTGGCTATGTCTCTGTGTTGATGATAATTCCTGGCCTCTTCTCTTTAAGAAGCATCTGGGATGGCCTCCGGCTCTGAAGCTGTCTTGAGGACAGGTATTGATTTTTATTCCCTGTACGTTCTCCTGGCATTCACCCCAGAGAAGAGGAGTGTGATATTATTCCACAAATAACTTCAACCTCCAAAACTACTAATGCCCTCACTGTTTCACTTTACATTTAGCCATGTGGAGAAATCTAAGTAGGAATTGTTTTTATAGCGGTACGCTCTAATGTTAGTACTGGCTGTGGGTTGAATTGCATCCCCACCATTCATATGTTGAAGTCCTAACCCCCAGTACTTCAGAATGTGACCTTATTTGGAGACAGGGTTGATGCAGATGCAGATGTAATGAGTTAGGTTAGGACGTGATCCTAATGGGATAGAGAGAGCAGGGTGGGCTCTTAATCTAATGTAACTTGTGTCTTTACAAAAGGAGAAATTTGGACACTGAGACACAAAAAGGGAGAACTCCATGTGGACGGGAAGGCAGAGATTCAAATGATGCAGCTACAAGCCATGGAATGCCAGAGATTCCCAGGAAACCCCCAGATGCTGGGAAAGAGGCATGGAGCGGTGTCTCCCTCACAGCCCCCAGAAGGAACCAACACTGCAGACAGCTTGATCTCAGCCTTCTGTCCTCCAGACTGGGAGACAATAAATTTCTGGTTTTCAAGCCATCCAGTTTGTGGTATTTTGTTCTGGAAGCCCCAACAAACTAACAATGGACTTGACCAATGGACACCTTTGCACCTTCCCTATCTATAGCTGTAGACCTTTAGTGTTATAATCTGGAATCTCTAAGTATAATTTGTGTGTTCTTTAGCTTGTCCTTCTTAGGGAGATAAGCAAATTCACAACTTAGTTCTTTCTTTTTTTTTCTTTCTTTGATTTTTTTTTAACCAATATGGTTAATCAACTATAGATTGTTCTTCTTTTATGTCTTATCAAAGTTTTTGTGCCTGATAAACATTTACTTATCCTTCAAGACCAAGTATTTGAAATAAAATTCAGTGTGGCTACACATATCAGAGGCTTTAAAATAAGAATTATTTACACACAGAAGAGTTTGTTTCTCTCTCATATGTAAGTCTCAATGTAAGTAATCCATGAAATCCTTGTAACCCACGTTCTTTCTACCCTACCGGTCTATCATCACTAGGACACTCATTCTCATGATTCAGTGTGGCAACCAGTGCTCCAGGCATCACATCTGCATTTCAAAGAGCATAATGTAGAAAATAACCAAGAAGAAAAGGGCACATTATATGAAGCATCTATCTTTTTTTTTCTTTTTCTTTTTCTTTTTTTTGAGACGGAGTCTCCCTCTCTTGCCCAGGCTGGAGTGCAGTGGCGTGATCTCGGCTCACTGCAACCTCCGCCTCCCAGGTTCAAGCGATTCTCTTGCCACAGCCTCCCGAGTAGCTGGGACTACAGGCATGTGCCAAGTAATTTTTTTGTATTCTTAGTAGACACAGGGTTTCACCACATTAGCCAGGATGGTCTCCATCTCTTGACCTCGTGATCTGCCCATCTCAGCTCCCAAAGTGCTGGGATTACAGGCATGAGCCATGGCACCCAACTGAACCATCTATCTTTTAAGGAAGAATCCCAGTAGCTACCACATGATGCTTCTGCTCATATCCTAGAATTAGCCACTTAGCTAGAATTTTATCACACGATCATACGCGTGACACACAATGAAGGCTGGGAAAGGTCATGCCGTGTTTGTTCTGAGCCATTATCCTCCCAGATAAAATAAAACATTTTATTACTGTGGAAGAAGACAGTGGTGAGTGAGAGAAAACAACTTATCTCAGCCACATCTAGTTAAGATTTACTCTTGGGAAATAATTTATTTTATAAATTATTGATATTAGTGATATTCTATATTACCCAGCCCAACATCTGTATTAGTTACTTGAATGCTAGTTACTAAAACCAGGAGGTCCACAAATTTCAGTGTCCTAATGTAATACATATTTACTGTTGATTCACATGATAATCCAAGTATAGATTTCTTGTTGACAGGCAGCTTTCTTCCTCAATGTAATTCAGAGACAAAAGTTTCTTCCATTTCGGCCAACAGGCAGGGGAAGAGGGCATGAACAGGCCACATTTCAAAGTCACAACCTGGAAGCGAACATATCACTTCCACTCACATCTCATTGGCTAGAACTCAGTCATCTGGCCACAGCCAATGCAAGACGTCCAGGAAGAAGAGGAAAATAATTTATCTAAACAAGGAGCTATGCCTGACACAATATTTATCTCTCTTGGAGGAAATGGTAGCATATATGGGTCACCTGCTCAAATAGCAATGTTGCTTGGGCCTTAACCCAGAAAGCAGCACCTTCACCTCTCTATGAGAACTGGAAGTATGCTGAAATCAAAGATAGTAGTGGGAAATTGGATGCTTGAAGAAAAATGTTAAAATTTATCTAAAAATGAACCACTTGCAATCATAAAAATAAATTATACTGCTAAGATGGGAGAGGGAGAGAATATTGACATTCTTTGATGCTTTCTTTGAGTATGAAAAATTCGCTAGTCATTGATATAATGAGTTGTTTTTATTTTTTCCTTTTAAGGGATTTGTCCATTTTATTTAAACGTCAAAATTTATTGACATAAAATTATATAGAAGAGCAGTAGAGACTGGGGTAACTAGGATTTATGTTCAGAAGTGGGTGCACACCTTCTGCCAGGCCAGTAGTGTAGGGAATTGAGACCATCTAGTCAGTAGTTGGGCTGGATTCAAATTCCTCCAGGGCGGGCTATTTACTGTGACCTCCTGCTTAGCGTGGAGCCTGTGGTGCTGGCAGGTTTTCCTGTGTCAATTCTTCATGCTTAGCAGCTGGCATCATGGAAGGGGTCTTGTGCCATGCTCAGGGCCCTCCCGCAGCAGCTGTGTAACTGATGGATTATTTGTGTTGAGATCTCCTACAAACAGTCACACTCCCGTTGTCTTCTCCATCTGATTACATTTGTGGAAATCTACTGTTCATCTCCATGACTCATCTGGCTTCTAATGTAGCCAAAGAAGCAAGGAAAATGAGCAACAGTGGGAATTCCTAACCTGCCTGTCTTGAGGGTTTGATGACACTGCTCACCTCTCCTATCTCCTCCATGGATGACGTGTTGCCTTTGGTTTACTCTCAAGGACAGGGTAATTCCAGGAAACTCTACTTGGGCCTTTCTTCCCTAGTAACGAAAATTCCTGGGTTCAGGAAACCAGTGTGGGGATTCCGCCAGTGGCTAAAAAATTCCTATCCCACTAGTTGATAAATACATCCGTTCTGGAATGGGGAGTAACCACAGGAGGACGCCATGGTCTCACTGAACAATCTTAACCTTGGGCCAAGGCAGCTTCTCTCCCCAGAACTCCAAAGCCCCTGCTTCAACTGATGGGCCACACAGCATTTCTGATGTTGGGGACTCAAAATCTACTCTGAACATGTAGACAAAATTCTCTAGAAACCTCATGTAGATATTTTCCTTCTTCCAGAGTGTGGTCACAGCAGTAATTACCTTTGACTTTGGGGACATTTGGGGAAGCTGAGGGAAAAGATATATGATACATACCAGAGACTACATTGCAGCCTTGAAGGGCTCCAATCTCTCCTTCAGTCTAGGAGCTCAGAGTCATTACTGGCTTATGTCTCATAACTACATTAGAGACAATGGGTCCTCACTGTAGCAACAATCATATCTAGATTTCTTTTTTCTTGGTAGGCTGCCCATCAATTTCATTTCTCAGGACCCCTCGATCAATTACCCCTCACCACATATCCCTGTGGGTCATTCTCTAATTCCCATCCTGCCTGCATGGCATACTATGTGACTGCATGCACCTTGTCTCTGATGCCCGAGCCACCTGACCCAGCCACTCTTCACTGTCCCCTACCATCATTGGCAGCAATAGAGGATGGCCAAGCACAGAGCTCTTCGAGGATGCTGGTGCCTCCTTTGCCAATGCACTTTTTAAATACTTTGATGAAGTGAGTGAGCTCTGCTTTCTCCCAGCAGGCAAGATTAGGGATGGCTGAGCAGACTGAACATCATAGTTCCATCCCACCGTGCCTGTCTTTATCCATTCTGATTCCTTCCTCCCTCCCTCAGCAGTATGGCAAGGACATCCGAGGATTCTGACCTCATTATCTGGAAGTCCTCATAGGGCCCAGAGTACCAACACCATTAGCAGGTGGTCTGTCCAATACTTTAAACCCAAATCCATAGTGGGCTCTCTCATGTCAATGAATTCAGTCCAATCAAGACCTTTATTTTGCTCCTTGGTCCACCACCTTGGACCCACTCCCGCTCCTGCTGCCCAGGCTTTTGCCAGCATGGAACTGCAAAGTCCCATAAGCTTTCAGCATATAGTCATCTCCTCCAAGGCAGTCCTGGCAATGCTCTCTCCTGGCTAATGACCTATCTTTAGATCTGCCTTTTATTATGGGTTCCTAACTGTACAGCGAAGCAAGGTCAAGCAATTTCTTCACTGTACAGACCACCTCCTCCCCAAGCAAAAGGTGAATGTGAAGGACCAAACAGAAGTTATTTGTACATCAGACTAACAATGTATTTTTACAAATAAATGAGAAAAATCTTTTCAGGGCAATGGATACATGTATATTACCTTAATGGCAGTGATGATTTTATGGATATATACATGTGCCCAGACTTGTGAAATTGTAATCTTTAATTGGATGATGTTCATTGTAATATCAATTATACTTCAAAAAACTGTAAGGAAATTTACAGACTAACATACCTAGGAAACTGAGCACAGTGTCCTTATCAATATGAAATATTAAACAAACAATTTATATTTCATAAAATGTTACAAAGTCATAATGAGGAATTCTGGTAGGCTAAAATAATTATATATAAAAGTATATTAAGATTCTTGAAATACAGAAAGGATAATTTAATTTTTTATTGACATTCTTAAACTCCAAATTTAAAATACTATCAGAGTGAAAAAAATTAAAGTGAAACGTAAAAATATCAAGAAAGGCAGAAGGTCCTTGAAATCAACAATGAGAAGACCTAGTAAGTGAAAGACCACCAGAGGGCAATGCAGGACTGCTTAGGACAATGACATTGCTCTCCCCCCCAATTTTTTAATTAAAATTTTATTTGACAACAATTAGCAACTCAAATTGTAATTAAAATACCATCTGCTACATATTTAGGCAAACACCCAGAAACCCACTTTATATTCTATTAGTATACGAATTAATTGTGACACTATTCTTAAAAAAAAACAGAAAATAATGAACTCATTGCAAATATAACACTAATAATTTTAACTCCTTAGTTCTCTCATTGCATCATTTCAATACTTCTATAAGCTAGCATTCAGAACAAGTTTTATTATTTTAGAGAATTTTAAAAGAAATATTTACTTGCTGTTATTATTTGGTAAAATTTGGAAAATAATGTAAATTCCCTATAAGAAACAAATATAATTATCCCCTAATTGGAAGATGTATCTCCTTATGCATGCAAATGTATACGATTATTAATAAATGAATGAATGAATGAGTGAAGTTGGATTTTAACCAAACAAGCTATAAAAACCCCAAATGATGAAACAACTAAATGTAAGAGCTAAAACTAAAAGTCTTAGAAAAAAATATAGGGGTAAATATTTATGACCTTGGATTTTGCATTA